GGGCAGGATGCCAGTCTATCACAGGGCACAGGGCAGGGGACACCATGGGCAGGATGCCAGTCCATCACAGGGCACATGGCAGGGGACACCCTGGGCATGATGCCAGTCTGTCACAGGGCAGGGGACACCCTGGAGAGGATGCCAGACTATCACAGGGCAAGGGACACCCTGGGCAGGATGCCAGTCTATCACAGGGCACAGGGCAGGGGACACCCTGGGCAGGATGCCAGTCTATCACAGGGCAAGGGACACCCTGGGCAGGATGCCAGTCTATCACAGGGCATAAGGCAGGGGACACCCTGGGCAGGATGCCAGTCTATCACAGGGCACAAGGCAGGGGACACCCTGGGCAGGATGCCAGTCCATCACAGGGCACAAGGCAGGGGACACCCTGGGTAAGATGCCAGTCCATCACAGGGCACAGGGCAGGGGACAACCTGGGCAGGATGCCAGTCCATCACTGGGCACAAGGCAGGGGACACCCTGGGTATGATGCCAGTCCATCACAGGGCACAAGGCAGGGGACACCCTGGGTATGATGCCAGTCCATCACAGGGCACAAGGCAGGGGTCACCCTGGGCAGGATGCCAGTCCATCACAGGGCAACGGGCAGGGGACAACCTGGGCAGGATGCCAGTCCATCACAGGGCACAGGGCAGGGGACACCCTGGGTATGATGCCAGTCCATCACAGGGCACAAGGCAGGGGTCACCCTGGGCAGGATGCCAGTCCATTACAGGGCAACGGGCAGGGGACAACCTGGGCAGTATGCCAGCCCATCACAGGGCACAAGGCGGGGGACACCCTGGGTATGATGCTAGTCTATCACAGGGCACAGGGTAGGGGAAACCCTGGGCAGGATGCCAGTCCATCACAGGGCACAAGGCAGAGGACAACCTGGGCAGGATGCCAGTCCATCACAGGGCACAGGGCAGGGGACACCCTGGGCAGGATACCAGTCCATCACAGGGCACAGGGCAGGGGAAACCCTGGGCAGGATGCCAGTCCATCACAGGGCACAAGGCAGAGGACAACCTGGGCAGGATGCCAGTCCATCACAGGGCACAAGGCAGGGGACACCCTGGGTATGATGCCAGTCTATCACAGGGCACAAGGCAGGGGACACCTCAGATTTCCAGATTATTTTATGGCTAAATTGTAATTAACATGTTGGCATGTACACAAACCCGCATAATCGTGTTTGGCTAACTACTATGAGCCTTCCCACATAAAACAATCGACACAGTTCACACAAAGTTAAAAACCTTAAAAACAACCTTCCATATCAGTATGTGATTCATTCTTAATCGCAGGTTATACCTCCCTTTTAGCAAGCACGTCCACTCATTTCTGTATTCAGTAATGTTAGTATGCCCGGGGGGGGAGGGCAGCCAGTTGACCTCTGACCCCCAGAGGTTTTTTTTCTTCCTACTTGGGAGTGTTTGGTTCCTCTCCTCTGTTGTCATCTGGCTTTCATCTTTCTTTATTCAATTTCTTTCTTTCCTTTTCCCCGTTCTGTATCTCCATCTACTTATGCTTTATGTATCACAACACAACCCTGTAAAGCGCTTTGGGAACTTTGTTGTGAAAGGCGCTATATAAAAATATATTGAATTGAAATTAGTTGAATTGAACATTTGGAAATTACAACTTAATAAAGACCACGGCACGTCTCCACTGGCAACTGACAGGTCGGCCATGTTCTGTGTTCATGTTCATGTTTGGGCAGTGGTGGCTTAATGGTTAGGGAAGCGATTGTAATTGTAAGATTGCAGGTTTGAATTCCCAACCAGCAAGGCACTACTGAGGTACCCTGAGCAAGGTACCCAAGCAAGGTACCCAAGCACTGCTCCCCGGGTGCGGAATTAGCTGCCCCCTGCTATGTCACATATGGGTTAAATGCAGAGAACACATTTTGTTGTTGTACACTCTGTGCTGTGATGTGTCAACAATGACAATTAATTACTAAATTCTAAAATTCCAAAAAATTCTTACCAGCAACAATAAGATTATGACAGTAATAACAAAATACACCATAATTAAAATGCAAATGGGTGACATTTGCTGAGAATCTGTATTTATTCAGCACAATCCTAAAATGTGGTATCTGGCTCAGGCCTGACTGAGTCTACAACTTTGTCACAAAGGCATCAAATGATCCACCTTCTGTCTCCATGAGGGACGTGAGCGTGGGCGCTATGTGGCGATCATGTGATGGCATCAACCAGGAGGTATAACTCAGAAATAATAACAGCATGAACATTCTGAAAGGGCACAAACCACTGAGACTGGTTTGGTGCCAATCGGATGCACAGTCCAGACGCACGGCTGTCTCACCCAGCATCACTATTACACATGCAGCATCACTACAGGAGATACAGATCCAAGGTATCACAGCAATTTAGGAGGAACACCCACAGTGTGCAATGACTACAGTGTCTGTCTGAGGATGTGTCCATGACCTCCACTGCATCGTCTCCATATTAATGCTACATTTTCAGCAGACTTTACATTGACATATAAGCTCTTTTCTTTAATTGTAGTTACCACATAATATCTGATATTGCAGGTGTTTCATTCCTTTTCGCAAACAAGCAGAGTCCACATTAAGCATAAATATTACGTTACGGTGTTTCTTACCAAATCAGAAATGTTACAGATACGTGTAACCATGTGATAATATTAAAATGTTCAGTAGGTTCATCACAGTTCAGCTCCTTTATTAGACTCTTGTATGGGAACCAGACCCTCAGCTGAAATCCTGCAGCTTCTTGTAGATGATGAATTAACTACATTTTACTGTGAAATTGGACATCAGTAAGATGACTGACTGTTTTAACTGTATTATCTTTTCCTTAGAATAAAAGGACAGTTGGGCTTGGTTGAGAGACACCAAGATATCGGACTGGAACACGTTGGTCTCCAAAATGCATCTGCTCCTCTGGTTGGTGAATCTATAACCCTCCTTCCCTTTAAGTGTGGGGTATGATGAGGTACAGGAAGGGACATAATTATGGCCCCCGCACACAGGACCATGTCAGTACATTCTCCATGTACACGGTCCCCTGTCATTAAACATAATTATGGCCCCCGCACACAGGACCATGTCAGTACATTCTCCATGTACACGGTCCACCTTGTATGTTGATTTCAGCATCATTGTTTTACTGTGACCTGTTGGGTGTTAAACTATTTTTCTTGCTGTCTGTCTTGTACAGATGCTTGAAACCCTGAAGGACATGAACCTGCAGAAGCGTAATCCTATTTTTAAATTTTCAATTTTTTCTTCTAATATGTAACCTTTTTAAGCTCTGGATTAATAAGTTTGTTTTATAGCACTATACGGAAAATGATGAACAGTTTGTTAACTACTGATGTTGCAGACAGAAATGATTTGGAAATTCTCCCTTATTTCAGGTCACCCAGCAGGACGTGAGCTGCATGACAGGATGAAGAGTAAGAGCCTTATGCTGTTCTGTACATGTCTGTGCTCAGAGGAAAGCTTTGCTGCCCAGAACTGCCTCCTCATTGTCTCGTCAGAAATAAACAGAATCATCTTGTTCTTTGGAGATACTGAATTCTGACCTTTCTCCTGCCCCCCCCCCCCACCTCCCCGGCCTTAGGATAGCCAAAATATCAAATCAGTCTAAGACAAATGATCTTACCCAGTTTGAGATTAACAGCCCAGATAGTGTGCAGCTGTCGCCCTCTTCTGGCAGAGGTGGCACTGCCAGCCTGGTGCTGGCCCTGGCAAATGGATGTCAGCCAAAAGTGGCCCACTTGTGAAAAAAGGAATGTGAGCTAAATGTCCACATATGGACATCTGAGATAGCAACATCATTCTGGGCCAGATGAGGCCTGCATCTGGCCCACTGACCACATGGAAGCTTCTGAAACTCAATCATGTAAATCTCATTAGGACCATGTCACTACCTGTCAACTAGCCACCTTTAAAGATATTTATTTTTCAAAGCAAAATGTAAATTCACATACAGATTGTGATTTTTGTCTGGTGAATTTAAATTAATCTGACAGTCAAATTAAATGTAAAACAATCTCAATACTATACAGTCTTCTTAACCGCAGGGACAACACTGGTAACCAAAATAACCTCTCAGCAGGAGTGTCAGTGTAAAGGCAGTGCTCACTGACACAGATTATACAGCTTGCTAGACTGCATGACATAATTTAGCAGGGCTGAGAGAAGGTGAGAGCTCCCCTAGTGGCTATAAGAGTGCATTTTCCCTAGAGCAGTGTGTGTATGTGTGTGTGTGTTTTAATATTATTCCTTCCATACTAGTCAGGATCACGATGAGAATTAGTGCATTTTCCTCTCCTTTCTTTCCAGGGGAAATCATGCTGCAGTGTCAGCATAGAATGAAATGTACCCTGAAGCAGAAAAGTGAGTGTGTATTTGGAGGGAAAGCTAAGGAAGGACAGCCAACACTTCTCAGTGAGAATTACACAGAACTCTACGTAACTGAAGGTGGGACTGGAGGAGTCAATGATGAACATGAAGTGAGACAGATTGAAACAGCATCCAAGAAAAGGCGAACAGAAGATACTACAGTCAAGTGCAATGATATATTTAACCCCTTATGTGGGCGT